TCTGCCACCGCCCCACCTGCTGCCGCCCCTACCACCTGCTGCCCCTACACACCTCCTAGATGACGCCCCTGCCCTAGCCGCTGCCAGCTTTTGTTTGTTGCTTGTTGTTGCCGCTGTTATTGCAGTGTTGATTATTCCCTCGACATTTTAGTCCTCGAACTGATGAGAGAAAGATTGTATCCCTCAATATTTCAGTCATAGAACTGATGAGAGGACGAGTGTCTATCTCACCTTTTTGAGATCTTTCACTTCTATTCTTGTTTCCTTCGAGAAACGATAATATAGAGATTGACTTGAGCCTTTGTGCAAACAAAAGCCAATGCTCTCTCCCTCAGATGATATCACCTCCGCGGCGTGAGGACGTGACTATCTACTACTCTGCCTCTTATGTTTTTCAGATTTGGTATATGTCCGACTAAAATATCATCATCCTGCTCCTGATCTGTTCTTAGTTTATGTTTCAAGAACGTATCTCTACTACTGTCCTGCCTATTTAACTACTATCTGTCTACTATTGTTGCGCAAAAAATGATTACTACTTCGATGTCGGAAATCTCCTCCTCTATTACTCCTTCTGTTGTTGCTGGTGAGACCTCTGTGCCCAAGGTAGTCTTGGGAACTACAATTAAATTGAATGGTACAAACTATCTGCTCTGAGCACAAGCTTTCCGCATCTTTATTGACGCTCAGAGCAAACTCCCACATCTTCTGGCATCTCCACCACCCACCTCTGATCCCACCTACAATTCATGGCTCTCATCTGATTATTGTGTTATGACTTAGCTTCTCAACAGTATGGAAGCACCGATCAGTAGCAGCGTTATGTTTTTAACCACTGCGAAGGAGATGTGAGACAACCTGAAGATTATGTACGGGAATGAGAAGAATGTTTTTCGTGTATTTGAGATTTATGAGTGACTGTTTGCGCTCAAACAAGGAGATACGTCAGTTCCGGAGTTCTTTGGTGAGTTAAAGGGACTGATAGACGAACTAGAGATGCATCAGCCTGCAATAGCTGATGCAGCGACGCTGTTGGGGTATCGTCGTGATCTGACAGTATCCAAGTTTCTTTCTGGAATGTACCCTAATTTATAGTCCCAGGTGAGGGGACAGATATTGGGTGGAGATATCATTCTCTCACTGACTGCTACATTTTCCAGAGTCATGCAGGTCTTTACTGGTGCTACTTCTGATATTATTGTACCGTCTCCACTTATAATGGATCAGTCTGTCATGTTCTCTAGTCGAGACAGAGGCCGTGATCGTGGTCGTGACCGTGGTCATGACTCAAGGGGAGGACGTGGCTCCTTTGGCGGGAGACGTGAATTTGATAAAAGCTCATGTCAGTGCGGTCACTGTGGGAGAACCAATCATATTTCTGAGAAGTGTTGGGAGAAGTTTGGTCGTCTTTAGTGGGCCCATGTAGCTGACACTGAGTCGACTCACTCGTCTATTTCTTCTACTACTAGTGGTCCAGCTGTTACTGCTCCTATTGTTCAGATTTCTCAGGCAGATTATGAGAGGTTACGCCAGCTAGATCTCTCTCAGAACATTCATTCTGCTACTCATGCATCCTCTTCAGGTATGGATGCTCTCATAGCTTCTTCTCACAAACCCTAGGTACTAGATTCTGGAGCCTCATCCTATATGACAGGTATAAAGGATCACTTTATATCTTTACATTTTTCTGATAAGTTTTTCTCTATCCGCATTGCTGATGGTACTTTCTCCAGTTCGCGGTGATGAAGTAGTTCATGCTACTTCCTCTTTAAAACTAACTGATATGTTATATGTTCCCAAATTCCCTGTTAGCCTATTATCCATTAGCAAGTTTACAAAACAAAATAACTGTAAAGTCACATTTTTTCCATCTTATTGTGTTTTTCAGGACCTAGCAACTGGGATGACGAGTGGTTCGGGGCATGAGAGAGGAGTTATGTACTATTTGGACGACAGTGTGCCAGAGGCTGGTCTTGTTGCATCACAAGTTGACTCTAATTTATTGTGGCATTGGTGTCTGAGTCATCATTCACTACAAAAACTTAGATCGGTAGTTTTTATTCAGTCATCTATTTCCTCTTTAGGTTGTGAGTCGTGTGAACTGGGTAAGCACTATCGTGCTACTTTTCAGAGTCGTGTCGATAAACATAGTAACTTTGCTTTTGAGTTGGTTTATTCTAATATCTGGGGTCCTTATCGTGTTCCCTCTGTGCAAGGTTTTCGATTTTTTATTATCTTTGTTGATTTCTCTCGCATAACGTTGCTTTATTTGTTAAAAGAGAGGTCAGAGGTCTCGCACGTTATTGAACTCTTTTATAATGAAATAAAAACTCAGTTCTCTACTTCTGTTCGTATTCTTCGTACTGATAATGCTTTGGAATATATGAAAAGTGACGTTTCAAAATTTTGTGCTCTTAATGGCATTATTCATCAGATTTCTTACTTTCACACTTCACAACAAAATGAAGTTGCTGAGAGAAAGCATAGACATATTCTAGATGTTGCTAGAACACTGATGATACATATGAATATTCCAAAATATTTGTGATCTGATGTT